TTGCCCTTCTCAAATCTGTGTTTTGCATGGTCCAATATTATTTCACGAACCTAAAAAAATAATGTACCACTTTAATAATGGAGAAGCTATTAGTCAGCTTTATATTTTTCAAAATATATAAAAACTATTTATTTTCTGAGAATGTGTTAATGCAATTATGCAAATTAAAAAACACCAAGAAATCGTACACTATATTGTATTATATTTCACCTGAATCCCGGATTGTTCATTCTTCGTGGTCTTTTCTAAAAAGTGCTTTAAATCAGTCCTACCTGTCTTTATACATGCTGGGTAAGATCCTGAAGTTTTAAAAAGGATGCAGGGAAAGCAAAATAAAGTGTTAGCCTCGCTACATGCTGTTAGCCAAGCCTTCTTCCTAGGTCCTGGAAAAGGACAGTTCTTGCACCCTCTCTCTCTCTCTCTCTCTCTCTCTCTCTCTCTCTCTCTCTCTCTCTCCGTCTCTCTCTCAGCTCTCTTGCACCCAGAGCTCTCCTATACCTTTTTATTGCAAAGGAGCAACTGCAGATGTACAACTTTAAACAGAGGTCAATGGGCAAATTTTTGTGCCCTAGGGCCAAAGTACATCACAGATCCAGCAAAAAATGGAATGACACTTTACTAGTCATAAAGATTAAATATTTGTGTTGCACATCTAAAAAAATATATATATATTCATATATTTCGAAATATTTTACATTTTAATTTAGAATTAAAACACTTTAACCATTTATACGAGTTCAACAATGAAGCAGAGTGCGAGGTATTAGAAGTAGTTTCTAAAAAACCTAATAAACTTTCTCCACTGAAATTGTTTCACCCAAGGCTAAAGATAAGAGAAGCTTATTGGGAGAGGGATGCCCAGGTTCTTTCTTTATTTACATCACATAAGTAAAACCATTTTAAACTTTGATGCTTATATATGGTTAAATGACTTTCTGTTCCAGAGATAAGTACAAAAAAGATTAAACATTCAGATGCGAATATGTCTCTTAGATGACTTTAGATCAAATCTGGATTACTGGTCTCTAGGAGAGAAAAATATGAGGATGCAAAATAAGACAAAGTCTGACATAAAATGAGGTAAAATGTCATCAGTATTTTTCTCTTTGGCACACATAAGGTGCCAGAATAGACGGTGCTTACTAACCTCTGACTGGAGCTTCACTTTCTAGTATACACAGAACATGATATCCCAGGTCCTCTCTCAGCCTGGTTCTAAAGGTTTGTTTATGTCACACGTCAGCTCAGAAACATTCCTTTGTTGAGATTTATGAGGTTCATTACCTTCACTTTTAATACAAGAAAAAAGAAATGGAGAGAGAAGTGGTTTAATCTTGCCAATTTATCACAGCTATAGGTGTTCTCTTCACCCACATCAGCAAGATCACAGTGCCTGCATAGGAACGCTGTACACCAGAGATGGCAGCTTTGATAGGAGGCAAGCATGCTGAATTTGGCAGTGTTAAATTGTGGAAGGCTATTCACTTTCTTCTGAGTGCCATTTGGAAACTTAAAAAAAAAGGGTTCAGGGCATTTTTCCAGTTACATAGCACAAGCCCCAGAGAGGAGACAATAAGACCCAGACAGGCTTAGGAGTCCAGCAGCATTTCCTCCCTCAATGGGAACATGTCTTGGACAGACACTCTAGTAGTTTTGTCTTGTATGTTGCTATCTGTGCTAGCTGCAGAGCGGAGGGGGTTTGTGCCAGGCGAGGGTCCGCAGGGACTGTTGGAATAGCTGGGCCTGGAGGAAGTTGGTCCTGGTCCAGTGGGGCGATCTGGGCTTGGTGACAAGCCAAGCTGTCTACTGCAGGGACGCTGGGAAAATGTAAATAAGACTCTGATAAGGCCTATTGTTTTCATTCCATTCTCATCCCAGCTGAATGACCTGCTCCCCAGCCACAGAGCATTTTATCTTGAGAGAAGGAGGGGAAAAAATGGAAAGGGTGGGGGTGTGAGAGATTTAATAGCCCCCATAGGAAAATAAAAAATAAACTCGCTGGACTCTTCTGTTGTTAGAGCTAATTCCTCAGAATTTGATGTCCTACTTTGAAATGTAACTTTTAGCAAAACTTCAGGAAGTTCGGGAAAAAGCTGTTAGAATAAAGAGATTTGCTTAACAGTCAAATGTAATTGCATTATCTGACATAATCTTTTGTTTTCTGTCAAATACGGAATGAATCAATGTTTGATATTCTCTGTCAGAAACTGACAGTTATTACTATGTTTTCGGTGCACATTGTTTACCCATTGGCATTGCTGATTCCTCCTGAGAAAAGAAACATGGTTTTAAGCAACTGAAATAACTTGCCCTCTATTAATCTGAATTCTTGCAGGGAAATAGGCTGTACAAGGGCCATTTGAAAAAAGCCAGACTTACTTAATTCTTTTCTCTCTTTTTTTTTTTTTTTAAGCACATGTACGCACTTTGCTCAGTTTTAGCAATCCCCCTTTAGGGGTTGTCTGCTTTTGTTATGGTTCGTCAAAGAGTGAAAGGTGTTTTGAGAGTTATTTTGTGGCCTAATCTAGGGGTCATTACTCACCTCGCTCAGGTGGAAGCTCAGGGAGGACAGCACTGCATTCCAGCTGTGGTCTCTCCTGTTAGAGGACTTGACAGGTCGAGTCTGGCCTGGTGAAGGGGATGTAGGGAGCGAGGGAGCGGCGGCTCTCCCGGGAGGGAAGGAGGGGGAGGACTAGAGTAGAATGTGAGCTGGCACGGCATTATCTCCAACTGTTGTTGCATTCCTTAATGATCAAGTGCTGGAGGAGCATCTGTTATGAAAATGTGCATGCATAAAAAGCATGCCTTATGTGTTTTTTTTATTTTTTATTATTCCTCTTTATACAGCACACAAAATATGAATTTATTTTTGTCTTTGGGAGAAATAAAATCATAATTATTGCCCTAACATTGTGCAGAGAAGTTTGATGTTCTGATGAGGAATCCTGTCCCACCCAGTGGTGAGAGTCAGGGAAGTATGGCTGATCTTTGCTGCTCCTGTAGCCCTTAACCTCTGTTTTAAGATCTGTGATCTGTATGCCACGTGGGGAGTTAACACACACAGAACACACAGGCTTTTCTCCTTCTCTCTCTCTCAGGGTCAAGGGGACAAACTCTGAGTTGGGAATTGGAAAGTCAATAAAGCAGAAGTAATATTATAATGACCCTGAGCTAAAGATGTCCCGTTGACCTCCATCTTACATGGAGGAAGTGGACAATCAAACAAAACGGTGACTCTGCTTGATCTCCCCAAAAGCCATCCATAAACAAGGCCACAAGAAGTGCTGACCCCCTGTTACTCCCAGTTCCTCTGAAGTCTGTGTGTTTGTCAGGGGGAGCAATGCTGTTTGCTTTGTGGAAGTGGGCAAGAGATATAACAGAAGGATAAAAGGAAACAACACATGTATACATCCTTCACTGAATAAATCTTCCCTCTGTTTGATGTCAAGAATGATAATGGTGAACTTAGAGGAGTCCTGTTTGTTCCATGTGAAAGACTCCTGAATCGGCTTTCTTCCTGTGTGTGATTTTGTGCAGAACAGTTTAGACACACACTCATACTAAATATTGGGGTTTTCCTGACTTAAAACATTCTACATTATTTAATAGAACAACGAGAAATAATTACAGTGGATATTGAGGAAAATATAAAATAAAATTTTAGCCTTTTTTTTGTTTTTGCCCTTTTGTCTTCCTTATCTTCTGACACAGTGTGCAGAGCATTTGTAGAGCTGGGAAAAAAGATATTGTCTCAGTAAAAACAATCATTTTTAGAAATTATGAAATTGAACTATCTAAAACGGGACCATAACTTTTCATTACTAAATAAAAAGACCACACAGACAGGCCACACTGATAACAGGATTTTATGGTCACAGGCCAGTTAGGCTCTTGGTATGTAACTCCATGCCTTAAATCTCCCAAAACCTTGTAGGATGGTTTTGTTAGGTTCTAAATAAACTAAAGTTTAGATTCTAGAATGTTCGTTGGGGAAAAAAAAAACTGCACAGAGCAACACTTGATGAACACGGAAGAGGCAGCATCATGCTTTTTGATGACTTTTTTTAATATGGAAGAAGATTTTTTGTCAAAATAAGTGTGTGTATTGTTTTTATTTAATTACATAGCACATAAGTCACATTAAAGCTGGGAAAGCTTTTTGAATAATTTATCATGGTGTGTTGTGTGTATAATGGCATTTCAAGGGATCTATTTAAGGTCCACATCCACTTTACAGTTGCAAAATTGAAACACATTTGAATATAGTTTTAAGATCGTGCATCCTCAAGATAAGATAATTAAAACACACAATAATATACACATATATATTTATTTAAAAATACTACTTAGTTCCTTTGAGTCTAACTTTGCTCCAGACAGAAGCAGTTTGCAAAAGGAGTGGCTTAAGGTGGAGGATTGGAGCCTTTTTTCTGCTGTTGGTATTTGATGGGAACAGGCTGAACCCGGGACAGCACAGAGATGATGGAGGCCTGGGTCAGCCAGCCCAGTATGTTCTTTATCAGCTACAACAGCGACAGCATGGCAGATTGCAGCCATTCCTCCTCTGATTCATTGTCTACTGGACAAATGTTAATTGTTTTCATCATTGGCAGCTATGTGAACATTTGGACATGTCCAGTATAAGCTTCTTGCCTCCCGCTTAATGTGCGTCTCTGCCCTTATGCTATCCCCACAATGCTGTGTTCCCTCCTCATTCCAACCTTGGCTCATCTTGTAACAGTCAGGCACAGACTCTTTTAATGTTTCCTATCCAATATAATATCATTATTTTAATTTTATACCCTGACTTTCCAGTTATGAGTGTAGATATATAACATCCAGAGAATTAGGAAACAGAAGCTATATCCCATATGCATTCAGCCATTGTGTATGGGAACGGGTACCTACACTATAATGCAATGCATATCAAATATGAAAAAAGGTCCAAATTGATTATAGAATTTTTTTTAAATGTTCCTTTTTTCATTTTCCTGTTTCAGAATCTTCTTGCATGGAGAAGCTTCTTTCTAAAGACTGGAAGGAGAAGATGGAGAGACTCAACACCAGTGAGCTGCTGGCAGAAGTAAAAGGTAGAAATAAAAACAACATGTTCTATCTTATGGGTTTGTAGTGTGCCACACCATAGACACCAACCTAAAATAACTGTGTTGGGAATGTGTTTAATCCATCATCAAAACATTATTACAAAAAGAATGAATAAAAACAACTGCACCATAGAAAATCTTTAAAGTTTACCAGAAGACATGTGGGGTTAAAGGAAATCAACATCTTTTTTAGTGACAGCTTTTGGATTGCTATAGGTAAATAAAAACCTGATGAACGTCCTATATGGCAAGTTTGTATCTAGAGTTTAAACTGTTGAGAAAAAAAGTTTCTTTGCAATCTGACTGAACAGTGGATTATTTCTATGCCTACACTTACGAGGCTGTTAGACACAGCCCAAATGACTTGGTGTTATAACCAGTACTTGAGTTGAGGGGGGATGAGGGGGCGTGGCATAAAATCTTAAAAATCATCCCCCTTCTTAAATGACCATCCCCCATACCATCCCGTGTGACATTTTATCACTGAATGTGTAAATTTCTATTATATATTAGGGTAATGGCAATAATATTGCCCATTCAACATTTGGAAGGCTGTGTGCTTATGAATAGTGCACAGCCTGCCGTCAACAGCTAAGTGAATTTCATAAGTCTGGGACAATAAATGTGAAAATAAGGAGGGGAGGGACTCTTTGGCAGGTTCCAGGTTCTAAGTTTAACATATTAAGCGTCAGAAATGATCTAGAATGGTGTTGATAGCAAAATCGGGAATTGGCATCCACTGAGCAGAAAATGTATTCATCGCACACTGACTGTAGCACATCGACTGAAACGTGTCTCCATACTAGGAAAATACAATTAATTCAAATTTATCTGTCCACCAAAACTATCCCTTTTAAGGCATCCATGTATAAGAAATATGAAAACCTTACGAATATATTTAAAATTTGCCTTTTCATTCATATTTCAATCCATTTTCTCATCAATGGGCGTGATTTTAGGGCGATGGGCGCTCCCACGACAGGGGAGGTAATTCTCGACACAACAGAGGAAACCCAGAGGAGAGAATCAAAGGTTTTAAAAATGCATTTTAGTTAAGCAATTTAAGACACGTGTTAAGATTATTATCTTGAAAGAACTGCGAAATGTGATGTTGATGTCTAGCCAATCGTCATAAATGAACTGAATGTTGACATCTGACTGTAAGGTCCCTCGTGAGACTTGCAGAATGCCTGTTTTCAGATCAATGGTAAATATAGTTCCACAGACCTGTTAGAATAGTTTAACTCACTCATTGCAGCATGAAGCCTAGCTTACTTTAATTTAACCAATAGAAGCAATACTGATTTTCTCATAAACAGTCTATTTAAATAAATAAATACAAATGAATATTTGAAAGGTGAGTAAAAATACTAGATCTTATATAGGCTTATTTCATTTTCAGGCTAATTCTAACGTATTAGAATTTGTCAGCAGTTTTTTTTATTATTATTATTATTATTTCAGCTGTTTCAATTTAATTGATTGAATTTGAAAAATAAAAAAAAACTTCACTTGAAAGGATTCAGATATTAATTTGCAATATTTTGTGAGGTTTTGTTCCAAATAGATTCATTGCCAAAAGATTTTCCAAAGTAAAATCAAAGAAGTGGCACACCATGACTATAAATCTGATCCCAGTGGGAAATCTATCCTCTGCATTTGTCCCTAACTGTGTAGGGGCAGTGATCCACTTTATAACTATGTGCATCTTTGTTGGTGGTTTATCATATAAATATTTTAAAGTCTTTGGCAAAATGTGAAAAAAATTCAAATGCTACGAATACTGATGCATATTATAGAAATGACAGACTTTTTATTTTATTTTTTTTAACTACATTATGTTTCCTTCTTCAAACTTTTAGGTATTTTATATCTTCATTGTTTTACCATTACCATCCCTTCCCAAAAAAAGGCTCACATGTGCCACAATCCTGCAGCTCCCATAACTGTTGAAGTCAAAATGTGGTTTACGTAAGCAGAGCTCTGTAAAGCTGAAAGAAAAAGAGACTAAGATAGGAGATGAGAGTAGACAGTATGGAGACAGTAACAGCTGTCTCCTTGGTGAACTCGTGTTAGAGTGGAACGTCTCCAGTGTTAACAGTGAACGCCCTGCATGGCGTGTTGAGCGCACTACAAAAAAACTGCCCAGTACTCCCCCAAAATTTCTGTTTATTACAGGGTGAGTTGAAGGTGGGCTGAGGATGGGCAGGGCTCCTGCTTACTCCTTGCACTGACTGTTACTGAGCGCAGGCATGTTTATGTTGAGCAGAAAAAAAAAACAGCTTGGTGATAGCACCAGGCTGTCACTGGCTCCTGCCAGTGAGGTTCCTTATAAGAAAACTGTTCTACTATTTTATGCCTCTAAAGAATATATTATTATAAAAGGTTTAATTAATAAATTTTATTATGTTTTTGCCCCATGGGGTCCAAAGAGACAGTCTATAGAGGATTAACCTATTGCAAACTTAGGCCCTGTTTGCATATTGTCACATAATAATGTTCAATGTTTTTTTTCAATCATCAGTATCTTGAAACACGTCTGTTTGGCTTTACAAAGATCACTAAGAAAAAGACCACGGGTATTGACCTCATTTATGACAGAATGTTTAAAGCAGTTTGAATCGTTTGATCATTTCACTTGTGCTATGTAACAATAATTTTGCAAATCAATTAATCTGTCGATTAATTGGATAGCCAAAGAATCCTTAAATAAGACTTTTTCAAAATTAATTCAGGTGAAGCTCAAAATCTTCCCCTTGAGTAGTTTTAGACTGAGCATATTGACATTTCAATATATATATATATATATATATATATATATAAGCTGATTTCTTATGATTTTCAAGTGATGACGGGGAAGCGGGCAGTATCTTTTAACAGACCAAGGAACTTATAATTAGAGAGCAAAATACTGACTTTAAGGAAGCTATATAAGTCTTCTCTCATGTTGTTATCCAATTAAATCAAATAATCCTTAATGACATAAAATAAAAATTTGTGGTCAAATATTTTTCAAAATGATTTGGTTTGTGTAAAAACATCTTTTCTCAGTAGTATTCTTATTTTCTTTCTAGGGAATATCTAAAAAGATTTCCTGATTTAAATCTGTGACTGTTTTCTTTAATACTGATATGTGTGCTGTATATGTACGGCTATCATTTAGCTGTATTAAATTACATTTTCTCTTCTTGCTGAGGAATGCAAAACCAGCTGTTTAATGCTCTAATATTCACTTGCAATAACTTAAATGAACTGAAGGGTAAATCATGGCTTGGTAAACTAGATTCATTGTATCTGTGCTAGTGCACTATATGCCAGAGCAGATCAAAGAGCATAGTGTAAAATGTTTAAAATGATTTAGCCTTTTGAAATTTGGTGTTAAATTACAGGCTGGCCATTTCTGCTGTTTGATGAATGGAAATGGGAAGGTTACTTGGTGGTCTGTAAACAGGTAGGGAGCCTGATAATAAACACTATGGCCTCTGTGTGTTGATGAGTTATGGAGACAGTCCATACACTGCAGTTACACATATAAATGCTTCTCCTATCACAGAGGCAGCCTTAGATTTTTAATTAGCATGCCATTTCATATGACTGTAGACATTTCAAAGGGCTGCTTTGTGCTCACCCTTACAAATGTCTCTCTCTCTGCGTTTGATGTCTGCCTGATGTAAATACGGGCAATTAAAAAGAAGCCCAGGGTTGGAGATGCACAAGGTCTGCCTAATTAAAACACAAACAAAGGTACCGAGCAGAAAACACCTTATGATTAAGATCTAAAGTGTTATGATGAATCAGAGGTTCCATTAATCGTTAGGTTAAAATGTGTACAAAAGGCAAACATACCTGTAGGTGTTGAAATGAATAAAAGGTTGTAGAAAATAATGGCTCACGTGCAAATAAAGAGTACAGTGCCCAGTGGACGAGTGACCTTGTATCTTCTGTGCAGGATTTTTTTTTTTTGCCCATTATGCCAGGCTCTTTTAAGTCTTTCCTCTGTGTCATCGGAATCTTGAAGGCCAAGGAATTGTGCTCTTGCAAAAGCGTGCAATGGAATCTGACTGGTGTGGAAACAGCTGTTTTGATCCAGTTGTTGGAAGACAAAGCAAAAATGAAAATTGATTAGTTTGACAGAATTTAACCCGAGGTTTTCCTGATGAAAAGAGACATTCCTTCAGCGCAGCTTTGTTCCAACTTGCCCCGCATGGTGTATTCCGTTGAAGTCATCACGCACGTACAGTAAACAACAAAACACGACAATTGTATCAGCAAAATCAGAGATTGCTTTTTGAGCACTGCTAACCCAACCATTTAACTTTTAGAGATGACAGAAGTATAATTATATCTTATTGTTGTGTGAATGCATGGCTGCCTTTTTCTTTTTAGCATTTAAACTTAGCACAAAACAAGCAACATGATCCCGCGCTTAAGGGAGACATGTAGAATTGTGCTGCTGAGGGTTAATGATTTCAAATCTCCATCTGCCTTTTCTTGCGAGCTGCTGAAGCTTAGTATTAGTAAGACCAGGCAAAAGAACATTTGTGAGGGAGCATTAGAAGCGGATTTCTTTTCAACTGTTTGTTTTCATACCTGAGCTTAGCTGTCAATCTGCAGGAACGATGAAATCTCCTGAACAAAACCACAGAGGAAGAAAAGGGAGGCTGACTGGAAGGGCTCCAAACCACACAAAGTGATAATAGATGGCAAGGTGGATGGAGTTCTTGAAAAAAAAAAAAAAAAGTAGGCCAAGAAAAAAGAGTTCACATGTTTATACTTATATAAATGTTTCGCCCCCATTACAAGGAGCACAGTAGGGCATTTATAATAAATAAGGCACATGGTGTTTGAAATGTATACAAATCTAGTGTCCAGCAGTAGATAAGTGTCCCCTCTGTTCCACGCTTAAAATTTAAACTCAACAGAGCTGAAGTTTCCCTGCCGGGTGCCAGCTTACTGCCTAACTAAAAAAAAAAAAACTAAGCATG